ATTGCTGTGGAACGAATATTAACGTAATTAATTACTCCTCCTCTCTCTCTCTCTCTCTCGAAAAATAATATTTAAAGAACGAAGGATTAAATCATCACGGGGATCGAAAATTAATCAAAATTATCTCTCTCTCTGGAAGAACGGGATCGATTCGCCGAGATATATCGCAACGGTAAAATTTAATAGAAATCGGGTAGAAATTGCGAATGCTCACGTGACTCCAGGAGGTCCAGACGCAGCAGTAGATGAGCCTCTGCCACATGAGCCAGAACCAGAGAATCGCGATGACCACGACCCAGCTGACCAACAGCTTGAAACATTTACGGAGGGGGTTATCCTTTGAAAACGAGAGCGGGATAGATAATACCTGAAGGCTCTTGTACACGAGGGGGCCGGTTATTTGGGCGAGGCCGTTGTAGGAGGGTGGACTCCTCCAGAGAACGATCGCCATCGAAACGAGGATGAGGAGGGACGGCAAGGTGTGGATGAAATCGGGGCCGACCGCTATCTTGGCATACTCGCGAAACACCTTGTGCTGGAGGAAGAGGATCTCGTGAGGGACGGACAGGAGGGTGACGATCTGCGAATCGAGGGCGGTCAGACAGGAGGACATGGCGGTGTAGTAGGCGCTGTGCCAGCAGCCTGGTTCGATTCGTTTTCACCACTGCATCGAGTTAAGCGGACGCGGTGGTTAGAATTGCCGGGGAGGCGTGAAGTTGCGAACGAAATGAACCGCGTTGTCGACCCTCCGCTGTTTCTCCACCTCGTATCTTTCCGTATCTTCGAGTTTCGAATCGAATGTATTCGTAGAGTTTCCCTGAATCGAGAACGAGGAAAGAAGGGAGGAGAATAAAAGGAAAGTTTGGAATAAAGTTTAAAGCGATATATTTATTGTTATTACATTAGAAGTTCTGACGTAGATGTTTATACAATAACGAAGAAACGAGTAAGCTCAATTGCGAGAAAGAAAGAAAGAAAGAAAGAAAGGATAATGAAATACGAAATATTCGCGGGTTACGTTACTTTCAGTCTCTATCCGTATTTTTATTTACAAGTATGTACACGGTGTACGGGGATGTTTAACGCTATATGAGAAAGTATTCCGGGCCAACGAAGGATCCACACTTGGGAAAATCTTCCGGAGCCGGGACCATGTCGCTCGTTTCCCCAACTTGGAGGATCACGTCCAATCCACGTGTCCATTCGGCCGCGTGCTCGTCTCGCAGCATCCAATAACCTGTTCAACAAATTTCATTCTCTCTTTTCTCGTGTTTTTCGACAACAACCAACGAATTTGTTCGAAACGAGATTTAAGATTTCACAAAGATTTTATTCTTTCCAATTTTGTGCAACTACCTGGATTGTTCGCTTTAAATCTGAGAGCAACCGCGCCGAATTTCGGCACGACCACGGTGTCCTTGGCAACCGTGCAGTCGAGATTCCGTGAGAACAGTTGCCCCTTGTCGTCCATGCTCTTCAACTCCTGCAGGGACACGCTGCGCCCGAATTTTCGGGCTCCGACCACGTAGAACGTGTATCCGTGCAGATGATACACCAGGTCGTCGAGGCCACCTGCCAACGTTGGAAAAAAAAGAAAATTATAGAGATATTATATTCGTGTTTAACGCGATTCTACTTCTTGAAGGTAGAACTTTTTAAGAGCGTCTTCCTGATTAATAACGATAAGTCACGTTCCCTTCCCCCGTCGAGAACACATAGCGTAAAATCTAGAGGCAAGAATTTTCCGAGAAGAGGGAGGGGATTGTAAAATCGTAAAAACAACTCGTATCTTATAACTTGGAAGGGAAAAACGGTGATCAAACCAAGAAACCAAGTGTTTTTTTTTCCCCGATTTCTCAGAGAAACAATTGTCGGAGATGAACTCGCGATCAATATTTCCAGCCTCCGCAGCTAATAGGAATATAGATCAAGGTTCTTCTAACTCAAGGCTACTACCACTACTACTACAACTGCAAAGTTTCAACGAAGTGAGTCCTACTCTGTCTTTCATCGGATCCTTCGTAAAACGATTCTTATCACCTTCGATATACTTTCGCGTCCTTTCCTCTATGAAACGAGGGAATGAATTTTCCAACCCTGTCGGGATTCACAATTCTCCAATTTAAACGTAACAATCGTTCGAAAAAGAAATTCTGGAAACGAATCTGAAAGTTGAAAAAAAGAATTGGCAGAATTTTTCCGCGAAGAAAATTGCACCACGACGAAACGAATTTGCGTACATCGAGATGGAAGGAAAAAGAAATTGATCGAGATAGTCCTCTCTAGTCGATAACCCGGCAACCAGGCTCGTTACGAATGTAATTGGAAATCTTATCTCTCGTTTTGTTTCATCACGAGGGAAGCCCCACTACGAGGTACACATATGAGGTATCCTCTGAAACGCGATTCTAAGACGATCTATCTGCTAATCGATGACTATCGCGACTATTTCTACGATGTTCTTTTTTTTTTTTTTTTTTTTCCGTTAGAAATGCTACCACGAAACCTTTTGCATCTACGTAAAATGAAATCCAATCGTGGACGCTTTATTTGCAAGATATCTAATAATGCAAAAGAAACAGAGAAGAAGAAGAAGAAGAGAATTTAGAAACATTCGCAATTCATTAGTTTTAATTGCATCAGTTTTAATTGAAAATTGATAATTGGCAAAGACACAATACGGATGGAAAGTTTGGTTACCTTGGTCGAGGAGAATGATCTCGACGGTAGCTCCAAGCGGTATATACCTCACGTGGACGCATTCGCAAACGTTGGAGGCGGTAGCATCGGCGTGGCGGCAGCGTCGCGACGACAACGATGCAGTTTCGTTGTTCTCGGCGCGAGCGTCGTCCTCGTCGGGGGTTGAATAGCACATAGTCTCGCCGGAGACGTCCCCGCCCTGCGACAACAAGGGCGACGATGGATACGTGAACGTGGCGTTGTTCACGTTCAGAACTCTCGTCCCGACCTCGTTTCCTGCGAAACAGATCGATCGAAATGTGAGCCAAGTTTAACAAAAAAAAAAATTGGAAACCGCATTTCTGTTTTCTTGAAGTCGAGATTCCCTCTTTCTTGATTCTATACGCACGCCGTGTAAACGAATTTTTAAAAGAAAAATTGTTAAAGGATTTTCATACATGGTGAGTCTTTGGCAGAAATCCGAGTTCGAAAGTCTGTGTAATTAATGGATCGAACAGAACGAGGAAATTTAATAAATTTGTGCAATATGGAAATGGAAGGAGTTATATTTTTTCCAAAAGAAAAATGAAGTAATAATTTCAGACTCCTTGCTCGAAGGAATAGTTGAATATTCCTAAAGAAATAGACGGGCCAATATCTTTTGAACAAGCAAGAAATACAAATACAATTTTCACTTTACTGCTTTTTGAAAAGTTTTGTTGTTAACGACGATTTTAATTTTGTTAAATATTTTGTATTCGCTGGGAGAAACGAGGGAGAAGGAGAGAAATTAGGAGAAATAGAAATGGATTGAAAAGTATGCGAGCGTTTACGAGTATGCAAAAGGAAGAGGTGTTGATAAGAGGGATAAGAAGATACCTGTCATTCAAATTGTATGAACAGACTCATTTACATGTTATGGAAATTATTACATGTAGGAAGCCGTACGAATCGTCGAGACGCTTTTCGTGTGACACGTATTGAAGCGAAATGGGATGAGCAAAGTCGGAGTATAAGCTTGCGAGCAAAGTTTTCGGTGGTTCGAGATATTCTCCACACTCCTCTGCAGGATTCTGCTTTCGATTCCGTAAATTTTGATTAAAGATGCTAATGAAACTGTCTAATTCGTGAACAATAATTGGTGGAGAAAACTTGGATACAATTTTACAAATGGTTTCAATCGAATGTCTTTCAATCGAGCAGCAGAGAAGTAGGGAGAAGTAGAAGCACTACTACACTGCACTGTAACATGATTTTTTTTCTTCGACGTTCATTTTGAAAGGAGAGACACGTGGATAGTTTCCATGAAATTAATTCAAGAGATTTGAAGACGAACAAACAACAGGTCTGCTTTATAAATAAACTGTTGAATTAATTCGATTCCACGCCGATGATCCTTTAATTATCGTTCCTTTCGTTATTCAAAATATATAAAAAACTGGAAAGGAGAAAGTTGGAAATGGAAATTTTTGAAAATGAACGAACGAATCGCTCACCTACGATGTCGCTCGTTTGAAGCTTGTAATTAATGGGCAAACGAACGGTCACGTCTGTTTTCTGTTTTCCCAGCCCGGACGGCATCTTCCTCAACGAGTGCAGTTCCGTCACGCACAGACTGCCGGGATTTCCACACTTGTCCGCTGGGTTTGTCGTCATCGCGACTCGATCGTTCGATTCCTCGGCTTCCGGCTGTTGGACGGCTTCCGCCGTGGACAACGGGTCCTCCGTTGAACTTCCCTTGTAGCTCAATATCGCGGCGCCATTTATGGGACTCGTTCCGCACTCTTTCGACGCGTGTACGTTGATCCAGTAGGAGGCTATCCGTTTATTCGCTTTCACCACGAAATCCGCTCTCTCCCCTGCGATTAATTATCTCCTTTAGACCTCTGATCAATCGAAACGATTTATTTCTCAAATTTATTGGCCTCTTTCAATATTAATTATTAAATTCGAAACTCGTATTTATTAATCGATTAAAATCGAGTGAAATTATTGAAAAATTGCAGAATTAAATAATCTCGAATCAGAGAAGAAAGTGAGCAGAAAATTCCAATTGCTTTCGATCGTTATTACCGTCGATCGAAATCTCGAAAGTGAAAAAAGTAGAAACGATTCCCCCCCAAGCGGAGGAGGAATTACCTTTGGCCAAAGTAATCGATGCAACTTGTCTCGGCTCGACTGGCTGGCCGTCGAGGCCGATCAGAAGAAGGGGGTGAGCATCGAGGAGGACAGTTATTGGACAGGATCCGGCACCACCGGCGTTGGCCAGGCGGAATCTGTAACGTCGTCCAGGGAGGACGGTGAACTTGGTCAAAGGAACGTTCGGCCCGTTCGGCTGACGTCCTCGACCGTTCACCAAAAGGATGGCAGGCTTCGCGTGGCCATCCGTGAACGTGATCTCGCCCGAGTGCTGCCACTGGCTCACCAGAATCACGTGACTCGGGTCGTCGATGTCGTACAATGCCCTGTGAGGATCTCTTATGTCCGCTTGCTTCACTATCAACGCCCCGAATATGCCATTCGAGACGTCGTCCCCTGCAAATTCGTTCGATTTCGAAGGAGGAAGATTTCGATATTCGAATTTATGCTTCGAATTTATTCGTCCAACGATAGATAATTTTGGATATCGTAAAAATCGTAATAATTGGAAAAAAAGAAAAGGTTGCATCATGCTCTTTTTAAACGTACCGCTCTCTTCGAGTCGCTTATGCAACTGCATTTATGCACTATGAATCGATCATTATCTCCGTAAGCGCTGATGTCATGAATGAATGTATGCGAAACGAAAGTCGTTTGTCGCCCATTACTCAATATCATTTATCAAAATCATTTGTTATTACACTTTCTATATGTAATAGAGGTTTTGTTTCCTAACGCGGTAGAAAGCAATATGTGTAATAAATTGATTCCGATTAATTGGGCGGGATAATGAAAATGGGAAGTGGGGAAAAAAAAAAAAGAAAGAAAGAAAGGAGCGTGAAATATCGTTTCAAAAACTCGAAACGAATTTATTAGCGTTTAATAATAATTAATTACCGGCGTGGGCGTGCCACAAATGGGTTCCAGCGGCGGAGGCGCGAAATTTATATTGGAAAGTGGTGTAACTCGGTATCGGGCATTGAGTGACCAAAGGTGAGCCGTCCATGTACGGTGTCTCGAGCTGGCTCTGACCCCGCCAGTGTATAGCGGCGGCTTTACCTGGCAGCCTGTTGATCACGTCCACCACGAGGATGTCGTTTTCGCAAACCTGTACACCGAATCGATCCGTCTAAATCGTCTTCTTGCTCGTCCGCAGCAGTGATTCTCAACCTTTCGTTTTTCGTACGCTTTTATATAATTCAAAAAATTTGGCGGGGCACACCAACCAATAAGAATAAATCGAAAGAATTTTATTTACTGAATATATGGCAGTGGCCATAACCGGGATTTTCTTTAGGATAAATAAATTATCACACAGGTGCCTTCTGCATCCTGTTGTTACCTCTTCGAATGATCGATATACAGATATTTGGACTGAACGTAGTGTCGATTGATAAAGAAGATCGTAAAAAAAAAAAAAAATAAATAAATAATTTTCATTTCGATGAGAGGGAACAGTGGTTGAGAATCGCTGGTCCAGAACCTTATATAAATACTCGACACGATAAATAGAAATTATCGTTGTAAAAAAAGTAGAGAGGGATGAAAAATGAAGGGATTGGGGGAAAAAATGTATCGAATTATATTATATTAATTACATAAGCGAGAATAATGAAATTACGATACGGTATTTAAATACCTGAATAGTGGGCCCAGGCATCTGACGATTCGCGGTCAGTATACCGCGTCTCTGTCCATCGGCCGAGACGCAATGATCGGCCAAACACGCGGTCTCGTTCCTCGGACAATCGCCGCACGATCTGAGATTGAAAACAATGGAAACAATGGAGGGAAGAGAGAGGGAGAAAAGATAGAAGAAAACGTAGAAGACAAGGGATTATAGCGTAAAGAAGCGATTGAGAAAGAACGGTGAGCGAGTTGCTTCGAGCCTTCCGCATTTCATCGCTTAAGAAATTGCGTAATTGTTGTTGGAATTGGTTATTCCACTCGATGGATTCCGATAGAAAGAAACGAGGGAATTCTTCGAGAACGAATCGTTACGTGGATATTATTAACCAAAGTGCAATCACACCGTAACGTAATTAACATTCTCTTTTGTCGGTGAATTGGATTATGCAAAAATTTCGGATGAATATTTCCTGTTTCTTTCTATTTCTTTTTTCTTTTCCATCGTCTGAAAGAGACTCGATCGAACAAAATCGAAAGACGATAGAAATTTTTGATTTGATGATTTCTTAAATGGTTCTTAATTCTAAAATAATAATAATAATAATAATAAAGGGATATTATCTCGACGATTATGTACGATGATTAAAATAATCTTACTTGCTGAGTGACTGGAACACTTCCAAAGTGAGTTTCACTCGACAAATCATGGGCCAGTCCAGGTGATGGCATGGTCTGTCGCACGAGAGGAATATTTGTTCTACGAAACGAAAAAAAAAAGAAAGAAAAAAAAGGGGGAAACGAAATTACGTAGAATTCGCGAAGAAAAAAAGAGAGAGAGAGAGAGAGAGAGATTGGTTGATAAATAATATTTGTACAAATTTGTCCAGAAACATTGAAAGTAATTAAACCCGGTCCAACGAGAGAAAGTCGCGTGAAACGCGGACTTACTGGGCCTGTAATTATTCACGTGCAAAAATGTGGCGGCTGCCGCGATCGTGAAGACGACAACGAGGAATCGGAGGCCATAGGTAGCCATCATCATCGCCAGGTCCGTGCTCTTCGAGGCTCTCATCGTCTACCCGGTTTGTTATGCAACGATAACAGCAGGTGACTGCATTCTCCCCGCGAGATTTATTCCACTCAAAAAGTCTCAGAAGCAACCTACAGTTGCTTGGACCTCTGAGCAATTGTTGTTCGAGTTCTTTTTTTTTTTTTTTTTTCCTACCATTGTTGCAGCAGAATGATAGAACCAATAGCAGGTCATCGAGATGATAAAAATAAATTTTGAACGTGAATAAAACGTTGTGATTATTAGATGAAAATGGAATCGTGATGGAATATCGATTGCGAGGATGTCTTTTTTTTTTTTTTATGAAAATGTGAAATTATCGAAATTAGGTTAGAGAAGGAAATAAAGCCGAATGAATAAAGATAAATGAAAGAAATATAGGAAAGAAAAGGAAATAATTGAGATAAAGATTGATCGCTCTTTTTCATTATTAAATATATATGTATAGGAGAAATGTGGAACGATGAATGTAATAATGAAAAAAAAAGAGATGTGGGATCGAAAGAAAGAGAAAATTATGGAAGATCGTTTGTTGGAGTGTGTTCTCGAGTGTATTAAGGATACCGGTAGAAATCGATATCTCTGAAATTCTGATCAACTGGGTGAAAGGGATCTTGTACGTAGGAAAAGAAAAAAGCGAAAGGACGAGGATGAAAGTCGCAACTGTTCGATTCTTCTACGTGGATGGTTAAGCAAACATTTCTTTTGATCTTTCGAGTGGAAAGTGAAGGAGGGCGGTGAAGACGATCTCGACAATGATGATAACGTGGGTGAATATTATTTTCAATTATTCGCGTTGAGATAATATATATATATGAGAGGTATATATCAATAACATTGGAGCAATCTTCTTTTGATACACTTTTGATGATCGATCAAAACGGTTAACGACATTTATTCTCCACGGGGAAAGAATTGCTTCTTTTCTCAAATATTATTTATTACTTTTTCCTCGATGTGTATCGTAAGATAAATTATGTTAAAAACTTTCACTCGACCGTGAAAACGACATGACGCGTAAAAATCGCAAATATGTAAATATGAAAAGTGCAATTTGTTGTTGCATATCTCAGAAAAAGAATTATTATTATATTTATTCACTCTTAATGTTTGATTATCTTGCCAGAATGGAATTTTAAATTTCCAACTTTAGGAGAGAAAGAGAAAGACATTTTTCTTTTTTTGAACCGGCTACTTTTCCTTCCCTCGTCGTGGATGATGTAATTTAATGAATTTCCCTTGAAACTAACGCGGATAAAATAAGGCAAACACGAAACGACGTTGAATAATGTCTCAGAGGGGGATGTACGAAGGCCATCTAATCGTATTGCGATTAAACCGAGTCATTATTACGTAAAAATTTTTATAATCTTCGTACGACACATTCTTTCGTAATTTGATTCAATTCAATCTAGCGTGCGACGTTTATCTTTGAACTTGTGTATTTCTTTTTTTTTCTTTTTTTTTTTAACAAGTACCTCTTAATCAAATATTATCGCGGTATATACGTTCTTGTAATTAAATTGATTTCGATCGAATTAATTGAGGGATTGTTTGCACGAGAGGTTGATGTTCAATGAACTTTTGGTGGAATATGGAAATATTATTATTTTCCAGAGAAGATTTTTTGGAAACGAAATTTTTCGAACGAAAGAATGGAGAAGCTTTGTTGCAAAAATTTGTCGATAATTAACATCCTTATTTTATTTTAAATATATTTATAATTTCCTGATCCTGAAGATTTAGAAGAAGAAATAAAATCTAATGTAACTTTGCACACACGATCAACTTGTTACACTTTCTCCCATCTTTGAGCATTCTATGTATGTTCAATCTACTCTACATTCTCCATTTTTTTTTTTCTTTTTTCAAAAAGCTCTTGAGAACTTTCACAATAAATCGAACTCGACTTATAACACTTGAAAAACGAACTTGTAAGAGAAAGTTTTAACATTTATATCGAGTAGAGAAGAAATACTTAATTTGTAAGAGAATCTGTGTGAAAGTGATGACATTTATAAACTAACCGATTACAGATCATAAAATTATGATTAGCTCAATTCATGTGCTCAACCTTCGTTTTTATCTCGCGAAATTGAATCAAGAGAACTTCTCCTTCTGTTTAATTATACTTCGATCCGACACAATTTCACCAAAAAAAAAAAAAAGAATTATCTTTTTTTCTTTTCTTTTTTAAATTTCACCGATAGTGAAGGAACTTAAGAAAAAATAAGAACGAGAGAGAGAGAGAGAGAGAGAGAGAAGAAACGGTTCTCGTTCGAATTTCTAAAATTGAAAAGGAGCAAAAAGAAATTACGATAAATAAGGAAAGGTGAATGATGATAATCCCATATCAAACCTGAACCCTGCACACGTGAACTCGTGAACACTGTTACGCTTTCTCGTGAACAACTGAGCAGCCCAGAATTTTCGTTAGCTAGAACTGGCCCTCTCTCTCTCTCTTCCTCTCCCTTTCCCTTTCTCCTTCTGCCTTCTTTTTTTCACGTGCGACCTCGTACTGTTTCTAGATTGGCCATCGATTTTTTTCCTCCTTTTCCTCAGTTTTTTCTCTTTCTTTTTTTTTTTTTGTATCAGAAATAATTTGAAAAAAAAGGGATCGAATTCAGTTTTCAGGAACGATACTTTCTCTGAAATTTCGAAGATGTAATTAACCAATTTGTTCAATGCAATAAAAATTTCTTCCGTCGAGAGTAAGTAACTCTTCGGAATTTTTTACAAGATTTGTCTTGTAACAGGTTGAGTAGAGATTAGAGAACGATTTGAAATTCTTGTATCAAGAATTTTTTATCTGATTTTAAAACGTTTTAATTTATTGAAGGTCTACTAAACGATCGTCGTTTCCTCTTCCTCCTCTTGAAAAAATGGAAAAAAATGTAAATTGATAAAGTTGTCGAAGATGTTGATTCTCTGAATTAATTTCACTAATTTCGATGATAATAGTTTTATGTCATATATATAAACTGAATGATATAATATTAGATCCAGCTTAGCCTTTTATGATGAACTAAATGAAAGCTGTTTTCCATTAAATATAATTATCGGTCAAACCGAACGATAGAAAATTTGATATTCGCGTTGAATCGTGTTGATTAAAAACGATTGCGTAACGACCACCTCTCTCTCCACGTGTTCGAAACACGAGGAAAAACTACAGAAAATGATCGGTGCATTCGGTCAAACTCTACACTATTTCGAGTGAATGGTGGCGTCCACACATTTTCAAATACGAGGGAAAAGTCGTTATAAAAGTCGCTACGCCAATACTCCTTGTCGACTTAACCGGTTAATTTCTAATCTATTTCTAAAACAACAAAATGTCAAAGATCTCGCCCCCTTGAGATTTTTTTTCCTCGTGCATAAGTTTGATCGATACCTCGTTTCGAACATACCTCGAAACGAGTTGGAAAACGTGTCGGCAAAATCTAGAAATGGAGATGAGATTGTCAAAGATGGACGAAAAATGAAAATAAAATTTGACGATAAATTCGACGAACGAAAATGAAAGAAGGAAAGAAAAATATTTCGACTGGTGGTAATATAATGGTGATTCTTCACTTCATATATAAGTACCAATTAAACACGAGAGCGAAGCGAGAACACTCGGGGAGCCAAGGCACTGTCGCGGTATCCGTAAACGACTGACGAGCGGTAGTTTTTGGCCGAAATTTCATTGCCAGAACATTGGAGGTAACCTTTTTCCCCTCTCCATCTGACCCTCCCTCCCTTTCGTATCCCTCCGCTGCTCGCTGCATCTCGCGTGCCATCGCGTTTTTATCCAGTTGCGAAAGCGAATCTCCAGATTCATCAATGGACGAACGTTTAACACGCGATCCCGGTGACAATATCGGTTCAGGTAAAAATCGTGCGTGCTCTCCCCACTCACCCCCTCCCCCCTCCCCTCCTCCCCCCCCCTCCTCTCTCTCTCGCCGCCGGCTCTCCACCACGACCATCTCTGGTCGATCGAATATGTGTCAGAGACGGCGAAATGGCGAGTGAAAGTTGGCTCGAAGGGAGCTGGTGGCCGCGGTTACTTCACGCATATGCGTGTATCACGTTTCTTTTCCGTTTATCTTCCCGCTCTTACTAATTACCATTATCTGTCCTCGTACGTGTAAAAAGCCTCTTCCACGTTCCTCTTTTTACATTCTCTCTCTCTTTTTATCTTGACGATCCTTTTACTTTTCTTTCGTTTATCATACCATTTTTACTTTATTTTCTCGTACATTTTGAACTACGATAATATCTAAGCTTTTGAATTATTGACGATATGTCTGTATATACGTATCTTCTCTCGTTCTCTTCTTATCTTCTTATTAATCTTTCTTTATCTGCCTTTTACTTCCGTTCTCGCGCATCTTATTAATTATCTTCATATCTGTTTCCTTCAGTTGTTTGATTTTGTTTGTTGAATTAGAGAGAGAGAGAGAGAGAGAGAGAGAGTATAGTTAAA